CCCCAATTCCAACAATATCTCAAGGCCAGTAATTAGAGCTTCATACTCAGCCTCATTATTCGAACAAGAACCTGCTATTCTGTACTTGAATGTTGTTGGAATTTGATCTGGAGAAATAATCAAGACTCCTACTCCTGTTCCATCTTTATGGCTGGAACCATCGAAGTAGAATTTCCAAGGCTCTATCTCCACATAATTAATATCCTCGACTTGAATTGAGTGGTCGACTATAAAATCTGCAACCACTTGTCCTTTTACTGCCTTAAGAGGCATAAAGGTCAAGGAGTATTCAGTTAATGCTAATGCCCACTTGCCAATTCGACTATGCAAGATAGGTTTCGACAACATATATTTGAAAACATCAAAATGAGACGAATCATAAACATCAACTGGTTTTATATATTGCTTGAGTTTTGTACAAGAAAAATACAGACATAGACACAATTTTTCAACTTCGCTATATCTAGTTTCTGCATCGTTCAAAACTCTACTGAGATAATAAATGGGTCTTTCGACTCCATTCTCATCCTCTTGGGCTAACATACTTCCCAGGGTTTTGTCAGATGCAGCTATGTACAATCTCATACTCCTATTGCTACAAGGAGGCACCAAAATAGGTGGCTTAGTGAGGTACCCTTTGATTTTGTCGAAGGCTTCCTGTTGCTCTTGCCCCCATTCGAACCCCTCTTTATTCAGTCGAAGTAAGGGTGAAAAGGCCTGAGCTTTCCCACTTAGATTAGATATAAACCTCCTCAAGAAATTTATCTTGCCTAAGAGAGATTGCAATTCCTTCTTATTCGATGGCGCTTTCGCTTCCAGAATTGCCTTCGTCTTGTTCTGGTTGATCTCGATTCCTTTCTTGTGGACAACGAAGCCCAAGAAATCTCCAGCTTTCACACAGAACGCACACTTCAAAGGGTTCATCTTCAGACCATGTTCTCTCATTCTTTCGAATGATCGTCGAAGGTGGTCAATGTGATTCTTCCTGGAAACAGATTTTATAACAATATCATCAATATAAACTTGCATAAAAGTGTTAATAAAATCATGGAAGATAGTATTCATTGCTCGCTGGTACGTTGCCCCAGCGTTTTTTAGGCCAAAAGGCATCACTACCCATTCGTAAGTGCCTAAGGCCCCAGGGCATCGAAAAGCTGTTTTCGACACATCCTCTTCAGCAATGAATATTTGATTATATCCTGAATAACCATCGAGCATACTCAGGTATTCATAGCCAGCGGCAGAATCGACTAGCATTTCCGCCACAGGCATAGGATATTCATCTTTGGGGGTGGCAGCATTCAAATCTCTGAAATCTATGCACACCCTTAATGTACCATTTTTCTTGATTACTGGCACAATATTTGCAATCCATTCGACATACCTTGTAACACGGATGAATTTGCACTTCAGAAGTCTTTCGACCTCCGTTTTGATCTTCGACAGTATCTCAGGAGCGAAGCGCCTTGGATTTTGCTTGATTGGCTTCTTCCCAGGTTTGATTGGCAACTGAAGTTCTACCAATCCTCTGTCGAGACCAGGAATTTCGTCATAATCCCATGCAAAACAGTCTTTAAACTCTTTCAGCAATTGGATTACTTCCAACCTAAGTTCTGGGTCAATCTTGGCGCTGATGTAAGTTGGCCTCTTCTCTGACCCTTCGCCTAAGTTGATTTCTTCTAAAGGATCTTGTGCTAACATCTTAATGTTGTTCGCCAAGGGGTCCTTTTCGAAGCCCAAAGGCTCATCGTCATAAATGGCGTCGAGCCTCTGTTCCTGCATTTCTTCTTGCATGATATCAGGAGGTAATGGATCGAAATCCTTCCCTGGACCTGCAGCAGATAACTGTTGGTCATTGGCCTGTGTGGCCACATACTTCACTTCGGCTTCGAGAGCCGTTATCATCTTAGTTTCGGCTACATAAGCCGAAATTCGCTTCAAAGATTGTGACTCAGTCATTATCACTGAATTCACTTCCCCAACCAGTTGGTTGGATATCAGTTAACCCACTGAAGTCTATGTGGGACAAGTCTTCTCTGTCCCATTGAAAACCATGCTCAGGATGCAGGTATAGGGAACAGAAGGTGTTTGGCGCTGGCGCCATGTCGAAGTCAGGTGTTGGACATGGCCCTATGTGAGCCAAGTTTTTGTCGAAATCTGCCATACCCAAGTGATTCACTTCGCCAAGGTAGTAGCTTTGATCTGCCTCTATGTTTTCGACCATCCCATCTGGACGCCATAGCAGCAGTCTTTGGTGCATCGATGAAGGCACAGCGCCAACACCATGAATCCACTCACGGCCTAACAAAAGGTTGTAGTTAGGTTTGGCCGATATGACCATGAACATCGTTGGTCGAAGGATAGACCCAACTTTGATATCTAGCTGGATCACTCCCATGGTGGTCCCAATACCGCCCTCATAGTTCGACAGGACCATATTGTGAGGTTTAATGTCCTCATCTCTTTTGCCAATCTTCCTTAGCATAGAGTGAGGGATAATATTGATGGTTGCCCCACAATCGACCAATATTTTATTCACAGTAGTCTCTTCGAGCTTAGCCCTTATGAACAAAGGCTTGAGGTGATTCTTCATCGCCTCTGTAGGTGGCTCGAAGAAGCCATTTTGTTCCTCAATAGTGCCATTGTCCATGACAAAATAGCACACTGGCCTATGTTTGGCCATTTCTTGTTCCACCTCCCAGTCACTTGCTTCGACTTCTACCTGTCGATTGAATTCCCTGGGCAGCACTGAAACAATATTCACCATTATATCCAGAGTATCGTCGGACTCAGCATCGTCTTCGTCTTCGACTTCACTTTGGTTAGGCCAAACTAGCCTGTTGGTAACTGGTTCTCTCTCAAGAGGCTTCCTTTGTTTCCTTTGAGGAACATTCGAACTAGTTTCTGCCTTAGGTTCGTTGGCAGCCTCCCTTTCAGCTTTTCGTCTCCTTTGATATCTCCTCCATTGAGATCGAGACATAGGATTTTTACCCTTGTAGTTGCTGGACACTTGTGCAACCTTAGGTGCAGCAACTTGAGGTTCTTTCTTTTGAGTTAAAGAGGAACCTCTTGGCACATCGAAAGAATGCCATTTCTCCTCACTTGGCCTTTTCCGGCCAGAAGTTTTGTACCAAGTGTCTACTGGCACATTTGTTGGAGGCCTAAAAGTCAATGGCCTCTTGTCTTGGTTAGAACCCCTTCTGGGATCATGTCGAAGGTCAGCATTCTCCCTTCTCTTGTTCGCTGCTCTCACGCCTTGAATGTGCTCCGCAGCTTTTTTATCAAAGATCGAACTGCATCTTGGACACAGCATCACCTCTGATTTCTTTTTCTGGCATCTTTGTAGAAAATCTGCCAAGTTTTCATTCTCCCGAGGGAAAGCAGTCTTATTAGCCTGCTCTTGTCTCATGGCTTCTTCTGATGCTTTTGGGTCAGAAAGTTCAACCATGTTGATATTCATTGTATCTTTGCTAGCAAGAGTTAACTGCTTCATTTGTGTCTCCAGATTCTCCGTCTGGCCTTGAACAGTGGCCAAGTGGGAACTGGGTTTTGATCCAGTTTTTTGTGCTTCAGCAGTCTCCGACTTCGGGTTCTCGACCGCTTTCTGGACAGCTTCAATTGTCTTCCTGGATAAATTTCCAGAAAAACTGCCAAAGATTGGCATGTTGATGTGGTCCTTTGAGACTTCGACCATGGTAATTCCTGGCTTCTTCGACTGGATCCTGGTTGCCTCTATCATGTTCACCTCAGAGGGTTCAGCATAGTGGGCTTCAGCCTTCAGTGGATTGGAGTCGACAGCCATGGGGGATTTGTCTGCAAACTTTAATCTCCCTTCCTCAATAGCATCTTGCACAAGATTCCTGAAAAGAAAACATTGAGAAGTTTTATGGCCCAAAAAATTATGATATTTGCAAAAACCTCTCTTCTTTCTTTGATCAAGAGGAGGTACTTTTACCCCAGGGGGTACTATCATTTGGCCATCTTTAACTAGCAAGTCGAATATTTCATCACATTTTGTGATGTCAAAACTATAAGTCTTTTTTGGGAACCTATCGTTGGTCTTGTCTGGACCAATGGGGTTTTTCCCATTTGAGGGGACTAATTGTTTACAAGAGTATGGTGGCCCTTGTTTTAGTTCTGCTAAATCGACTTCTCCTTCTTCGACAGCTAGAGTATCGTCGAAGGAATCTGGATCTTCGTCATCCATCTCAACGTATGCTATCCTCTCTCTCTTGTGAGTTTTCGTTGCCTTAGCTTTTTCAGCTTTGAGGCGTTCGACCTGTCGAACTCTGTCGGCCAGTTGGGCCATGTCTCTAAGGTACTGGGTGTCTAGCTTCTTCCTAATGGAATAATCTAAACCGCCTGCGGCTATTTCGACCAACTCATGTTCTGGCACTTGTGTAAAACATCTCGCCTTGAGCAACCTAAACCTATTCAAATATTCGTCTATAGGTTCAGTGAAACGTCTCTTCACACTGGCCAATTCTTTCAGGCTTATCTTGGTTTGCCCCATGTAGAATTGTTCATGGAACAATCTTTCCAACTGGGTCCAATGATGGATCGAATTGGGGGGGAGAGTTGTAAACCAAGTGAAAGCGTTCTTGGTCAAAGAACTTGGGAAGTACTTGATCCTTAGGTTTTCGTTATTCGAAATGTCCCCTGCTTCGATCAAATACCTCGCCACATGCTCGACAGTAGATTCTGTCGTGTCCCCAGAGAACTTAGTAAATTTGGGGACTTTGCACCTAGGAGGTAAGTCAGTTTGTAACACATATTCTGACAATGGAGATGTAAAGTTGGGCCTTCGAAAGCCCATGTTCATCCCATTCTGAGTCATGATCCTTTCGATCATCGTTGCCAGATTGTTTTCCAAACCCATGTTTTGGTATTGGATATGCTGAACCACTTCGTCAGCATTTTGGTTTCTGTTAACTAACCTTACCTCTGGGGCTGTTACCCTAGGCTCCTCGACAGGCTGTTCGACAGGCTGTTGAGCCTGGTTAATGGTGGTTTCTTCCTCTACAAATATCCCCTGATTTCCCCTTATTTGCGCCCTTTGGGGCTGTCGAATAGGTGGGGGTACTCCAAAGAAATCAGCCAAACGCGTCATTTGCGCTGTAACTTGCTGATTCGATTGAGTAGTGTTTTGTATTAGAGGGTTTAGCACTGTACTCAAAGTTTGTGCCAACATTTGCACCATATCATGGTTGCTTTCGTCCATTTGTTGCCTCAAGACTGCTGTCGAGGCATTCGTAAGGCCATGGGCTACTTGGGACGTTCCTCCTACGAGTTGGGTCCTATTTCTATTCGCCATGCCTACTCCAGAGCCTTGGAGTGGCGAAGAGGCACTCACGAAAGGGTCTGAAAAAGTGGACGCAGCATTCGTCAGGCTTGCCACTTCAGAAGTTGGCATACCATAGAATGGAATAAATCCTGGGGGAACCACAGGCCTTGTGCCTAAATTTCCCCTTGGTGGGGGAGTTCCCAAAGGTATTCTGGGGCCTGTTAACGAAGTTATTGGCCCCGTGTTTGTGACTGATACTGCTGGTATCGAACCAACATTCGTCGCTTCACTTACGGTCATATTAACCGTTGCTCCCACACTCGTTTGTGGGATTTCGTTATTGTTTGGCGGATTCGCCATCTCTTCCCTTCTTCTGGAAGTATTGTTATCGTTAGTGTATATTCTACCACTTCTCAATAACATACAACTCGAAAAGATGAGATTATTTTCAAAAATCAACACACAGTCCCACCAGGTGTGCCAATTTGTTTACCTTGGGTTTTGGTAAACAACCGCTGATCCTCCAAATGGTTACTTATTTGGTTACTCGCAGGATCGATCAGATTGATCCTATGGACATAGGTTGATTTTGAAGTTTGATTAAGTTGGATAAGGCTTTAAGTAAATTGGCTTTAAATGAATTGCATAAATGAAAGACTTGGTAAAATAAACAAGGCTTTAAAGTAAAGGTTCGACAGGAAATGTAAAGAGAAAAGCAAGTAAAATTCTGGGAAAGTAAATGACTTTAATTGATAAAATTGGTGTTTCACACATACATTTCTCAACAATTCTTTCTCACACGCTGGGTACTCGAATCTAAATGAGTGACTATGTATAGAATTGTGAACACACGCGAGAAACTACATGTCTACTCCTATTTATACTAAAACATCCCAAGTAACCGTCGGGCAGTTACACTGCTTCGAGATCAATCCACTTGGCACGTTCTCCATGCTCGACGCTCCAGATCCTTGCACGTTTGCACGTGGTAACTGCTGGAAACCGTTTCCCCTCCAAACGCTTGAATTTCAAACTGCTCCACTCTGGACCATCGAACACTTTCGTCAAGAGACATCTTCGACGAGAAACTCCTTCGACGTCGAAGGCAATCAGCCTTCTTCCTTGGAAGAATTCTTCTAAGTACTTTGCCATCTTTCGACAGGCATTCCGACAGACTAAGCCAGTCGAAGACATCCTTCAGCTTTAATGGCTGACATCAATCAAAACAAAGGTGTCGAATTTAGGAGCCAACACCACTACTCTATGCTCCACACTCTTGAATATGTCGTTTGTTATAAGCTGTTATAACAATGTAAACAAAATCATTAACAATGTAAATTAGTTTTACACTAATAGTGCATCAAAATTAATCTCGATGAAAACTACTTGTAGAAGATCACCAATGTTGATGACTAAAGCACCGGGTACAGGTGATACATCAACCCAATTATTCTCATGGAGAACTTGGAGGCCGCCAATATGATCTTGTAGAAGCACTGTGATAAAGTCATTATCAGTATGTTTGGTTTCTCCCAAAGTTAATTCTGGTTGTGGACATGAAGGATAGTAATGGCAAGCAACTGCAAGGCCCTCATTGCATCTCATGTCATTTAAATAGTTTGGATTCAGTCCAAGTGCTTCTGATAACAACTCAAACAATACATTTCCTAGTTTCATAACTTCCTTTGAATATTCCAACATTATATCTCTGCAACCATGCACAAAAATGTTTTCATGACACCCGTACGACACTTAAATACATCGATAAATAAAAGTAAAACACGCGTATGCGTGTATTTTTGGTTTTGGCATTTTATGTTTCAAGTCTTGTGTTTTGTCTCAGTGTCGGAGTCTGTGTTTCAGAGATAGATGTATAGTGCAAGAGCATCAAAATTTAAAGGCTAATTGTTGAATTAAGATTATATCTAACATATACCTGCAAACTGATGGTAAATCTTCTGGTTTAGGATAATGAGGAGCCATGAAACAGTAAAAGGTATCCCTCCAATTAGCAGCTGGTGAGCTATAAAGATCAAAGTTACTATTATAAACCAAAGGTTTCGCAGCATCATCACGTGAGTATAGTTCTCTTTTCACCTCTGAATCTTGCTCAAAGAATCTAATAACTCCATTCTTCATCTCATCCAAAACAGTAATTTCTATTCCATGATTAACAACTTGAAAGAAACCCCATGTCTCAGATGCTTCTCTAATTTTCTCAACAACTGTTTTTCTTCTTGGTGCATCTAGATGAATATCAGCAAGATCAACAGAAGGAACAACAAGTTTGGTGGTGCTACTTGAAGATGAAGGTGAATCTTTATCAAATTCGTGATGGAACATGCGAGGGATGTGTGTGATAGAAGCATCAACAAGTCCTTTAACACCATCTTTTGTTTCATCAAAAGCTTTCAGCTCACTTGCTCTATCATAGTCAAGTTTTGCTGTCACTGAAATTTCACTGGTTTTAGAGATTCCCATTTTTCTCTGCCAAATTTTTTGGTTGTATTTTTTCAAGACTCCTCTAAATGTATCTGCAACAAGTGGGAGTTTTGAAGAGACAAAATTGGATTATTTGGGCGGTGGCTAAAATATAGGCCACCATAATAAGTGGCACAGGCTAGACGCCAAGTTTGACAAATTTGGCAAGGAAAACAAGTTTATAGAATCTTTTGGTTAGGATTTTTGCAATGATAACTATTATTTGTGTTGGGAAATTGAAAGTTTCGACAACACAAAAATCTTCTTGTTGTTAAATTTGATTATAACAATCAACCAAAAGATGTGTGGCAAAAAAAAAATCAATCTCAATCAAAATAAATTACCTTAAACAAGAAAAGAAAAGTCTACACAAGCAATAAGAAGATAAAGTACGCAATTTGATCCGCGCCCCAAATTAATAGAATTTAACCAAAAGGCCCATGAATAAATAGTATATTTGTCAAAATTTTCATTTTTTTCTCATTTAATTTCTAAGTTTTCAACAATTCAGGCTTGAGTCACCATCACAATCCGCATCGGTCGATTGACAAACCAACATTAACCATTTCATATTCGACCGAGACGCATCGTCAGCTCCTATCCACTTTCCTCACGACAATTTCAAACACTCTTTAACTCTCTTTTCAAAGTCATTTTCATCTTTCTCTCGCGGTACTTGCAACTCCTCAAGAGTGTGACCTTTGCAATCATGAACTATTGGATGCAATGTGATTTCCCAAGTTTGTAATTCAAAAGATAAATTCTATTTGTCGTGTGTTCTTGTGGACTGGTGGAATCGAGAAAAGTCGTAGAGCCCCGGTGGTTTGGAAATTTATTTGCAGGCCAAAACGTAATGGTAGTTTAAATCTGGTTGATCTTGAGATTTGGAACATAACTACTTTGTTGAAGCTCTTGTGGAACCTGAGTGGCAAGTCAGACAGTTTATGGGAGAAATGGTTCATTCTTACTATCTCAAAAGCCAGGAGATTATGGAAGCTAAAGTGACGGGCAATGCTTCTTGGATCATAAAAGCTATCTTGAATCAATGGGATGAAATCCATTACACTCCAATTTGTCTTGACACGTTGAAGGACAAGAAATTCCGCATGAATAAAATGTACAAGGCTCAGCAAAACGACATTCAAATGGTTGCTTGGAAGACCTTGTTCTATGGTAACTTGACGCAACCTAGAGCAATGGTAAATCTCTAGATGGCTTGTAACGAAAAAATCGCAACTAAATCAAGATTGCACAAATACGAAATGATTGACACACCCAGATGTTATTTTTGTGATGATGAGTAAACTCAACAACATTTGATGTTTAAATGTTTTGTAACCCAAGGCATTTGGCAAAAGGTTTTAGAGTGGCTACAGATTTCTCACAACCCAGGTGGGTAGAGACAAGAGATTGATTAGATTGTCAAGCAAGCAAAAGGCAAAGGAAATTGTGCTACCATACTAAAGCTAGCGGCTACGGAGAGTATTTACGAGATTTGGAGGCATGGAAATGATGTTTGTTTTGGTAATGATGTACATAGCAAGAAAATTGAAGATAGAATCATAGATATGATAGTTTATAGGGGTATGACCAATAGAAAATCACGACAATATCTAGCTAGATTGATGTTTCACTAGTTTTTTTATTGGTTGTTCTGTCAGTTTTGAATTTTTGGGTTGAATCCTAGAGATCGCCTTGTACATTCTTGCTTTTTGAATTAATCAAATTTCTCAATGATATTCAAATTTTATTTTAAGTTTTCTGGTGCATTGAGAAGATTTGACAGAATTTGTGAAAATTTTGTGTACCGAAAATCTTACATACATGTATTCATGTCCATAAAAACCCACTAGAAGTCTTACTTCGAAGTTATTTGGTCCACTTTCTACACCAGAAGACTTCAAGGTAAGTTTTCAAGGTCGTTTTTTTGGCTACCGGATGTATTTTGTGCAAGACTTCCGATTTTTGTTTTTTTTCAAAGTTGTTAAGAATTTATTTTTTTGAAATTCAGATGAGGCGTAGAGGAATTGACAATATAATAGTTCATCCGCAAGGATCCGTAGGACGAGGGGTGTTATTGTGATACGGTGGGAGAACTGACTTGGTTGTTTTTCGTTTTATCGCAATTGTTGCGGATAACAAGAGTCGCCACCGACTTTTCTTTTATCCAATAAGGAAAGGGTGAAATCGCCACTGACTTTTCTTTTATCCAATAAGGAAAGGGCGAAAAGAACAGGAAAGACCTTTGAGATATTTTCTTGAGTTTGGGGGGTAGATTATGAAAAGAGAATGTGTTAGCACCCTTTTCATCCATAGTTATCTATGGGCTCTTAGTTGCTTGCTAGATCACTTTTGAAATTGTTTTGTTAAAAATGTGTTTGTGGTGGATTTTGAAAGTATTTTTAAAAAACGCCTTCGTTTAGGAAAACTTTATAATGATTCTCGTCTCTATAAGAATGCATACAAAGTGTTGAACTTTTGAAAATATTTCATATTTTTTTAAAGTGTTTGGTGTGTTTGAAAAGATGTTTGTTTTGAAGATGGACTGTGAGCAAGCAACTAAGAACGTTCTACCTACTCAAAAGTCTTTTGTTCATTTCTCTCTTCCTTTGACATTGTTATCTTACCATTGATTAGTAAGAAGCCCTATCTTTGGATGTAAAGGAACCGGCGTGGGTCATCGTATAGTCATAAAATGCAATATTGTGAGATATCTTAGCATATTTCTTAAGCGTCTAAGGTCATTTATAAGGCAACATTTTTAGCGTTATCCAGGGACTATGATCTTGTATTTTTTATTATTCGTGCTAAAGTGTCTCACATGCATATCATGACCATTTATTTAAGGCAACAAAGTGGAGTTAACCCTAGAGGTGCAAGTGTGCAAGTGTTTTGTATTTCATGCTTGATTTATCTTGGATTAGGGTTGTCTAAGATTGATTTTATCTTGCCATACAAACCCTAATTACTAGCATTTATATTTGAAAGCGATGAATTGCAGAATGTAAATATCCTACGCTATTACATCATTTAGGGGATGGGGATACAAATTATAAATGGGTAGGAAGGCAATTAAAACCTAATTACTATTACAACCAAATTGAAAAAAATAGCAAAAGAGTCTCAAAAAATTAGAATTTTTGGTGTTGAAGCTGACACAGACCGTGTCCTTGGACACGGGCACTCGTGTCAGGACCCTGTAATAAATATGCATGTCTTTTTTAGTCTCAGCTGAGCTGACACGGGAAGTGTCCTGTGACACAGGCACCCGTGTCAGGACCTTGTCCTGCCATTTTATCAAGTTTTAATTCTATTAAGTGGGACACGGGCAGTGTCTTGTGACACGGGCACCCGTGTCAGAGCCCTGTCTTACCATTTTTCATGTTTTCTTCCTGACACGGCCTGTGTCAGGTGACACGACCGGCCGTGTCAGACTTCTAGAAGCACTTTTTGTGATTTTTAGTGTTTGCAACTCTTCTACTTTGATTTGCCCTGTTTTATTCTTTTGGAAAGGAAAGTAAAATAATGTATGAATAAGGATATCACATTTGAGAAAACTTACCTCTTGAAGTGAAAACTCAAAATGTGTATGGATGTTTCTAGTTTCAATGTGATGATTGATTGAGCTTCCTTAGATCTCCTTGAAGTTGTTTCAATCTCTACTTTGTACTGAAAGTGTTTGAATCTTTCCAACCAAGTCAAATTGCAAGACAATTTTTTTGAGTTTGGAAAGTGGAGATAATGATGTTACAGAAATTATTCTTGTGTTTGAACAACTTCTATATGATGTATATGAAGTATGTGGATGGTTTGTTTAGACACAAATGCAAGGTTTGAGATATTTGAAGATTTTGGTTTCTAAGCTCAAGGATAGAGATTCTTGTGGACAGTTTTGGTTTTTAGAGTAAGGGGGTTTGAGGATTTTCAATACACAAGAGGCTCTCTATTTTTTCTGACCTCTTTCCTTGCAAATGCTCCCTCTATTTATAGGCAAAATGTTTGTGAACAAAGGCTTAATAGGTTTACAAGATAGCATGTTATGGTTTGGTTGGGATGCAAATATCAAACTATGTCAAGTACTCCATGGTTCCAAGATGAAGTACCAAAGTTGTTGATATAGAGGGGCTTGTTTCCATGATTTATGGTGGAGTAAAATCAGAAGCAAACAAGGTATGGGCTCAAGACAAGTTTTGTGCCAACAAGCTTGCTTTTCAAGAATAACAATGGTGCCTTTATGCCATAAATGGAAAGATCTTTTGGACAATGGCTAAAACACTTGGGTAATAGCTCAAAAGTATGTGTAAGCATTAAATTATGGTGAGATTGGCAATTTAGAAGGCCTGCAACACAAGATTATGCAGCATGGCATAAGGATTTTGTTATGTGTTCTTCAACAAAAGGACTTGTAATTCAAGGATGGATGCCCAACTTCATGCCCTTGAATCTCCTAGCTCAAATATGATAAATTTATGCTCTTGGATGTTTTGAAAAGCTTAGAACACCCTCTATAACTTTCATGTTGACCATTTTGACAAAATCATCTTGGAACTATGTGAAAAAATGTCAAGAAGTTGGGATAAAATCCTGACCAAAATCTATTGAAATTTTTTCAAAATGTTAGATGAAAATGTCATGACTTCATAAATTTATAACTAAAAATCCAAGCATTTATAGAAAAAGTTATGTCCTACAATGTTTTAGATCTCATTGAGATCTACAACTTTCATGTTGGAAGTTTTCCTTGAATCATCTTGCATCATGGTAAAAATTTGGCACAAAGTCATGAAAAAAGGTTAGCTTTCCAACACTTGGAAAAATTTCTAAGTCTTAGAATTTTGACTTTTCAAAGATAAATTTGACTTTTTTATTTATTGATGAAAAATATTCATATTTTGACATGTATTGATGAAATATGATTTTTGAAACTTGATTTTGATCAAAAAGTCAAAGGTTGACTTTTCAGTGTACAATTGACTTTTTCATCAGTTGACCAGATTTCA